CTGATTTCAAACATAATGCTACTAGCTTCTTAGCGTTATTCCGAAGCGAGTTATGGGCTTGTTGTTTTGAGTAACTAACAAACTTCTGAATGTCATCGTAAGACGGCGTGTAGATAGAAATCTGCTCGAAAAAAGTGCTAGGATGTTAAACTAGCATCAGATTAATTCTTTCAGTCTCAATGGGAGCATCATATAGTTGCAAAACTACCTACACGTCGATACCGTAGCACAGTAGGTCGAAAAGCACGCAATCTTTGCATGTAAAAAAGACCATAACTCGCTTCAGAATAATGCCAAGCAGCTTGAAACAGTATTTGGAATCAGCGTTTCAAGCTGATTCCAACTGTATGTGTCTCATCTCAAAAGGCGAATCTAAGTTAGTATCCTTCCCTTGTGAGCTTTGGTGTACTCCAACCTTAAAACTCTTTTGATTGCCCCACAGCCGTTTGTACATGAATTAAAGCGTCGTGGTAGGTTATACTCAGGGTCGAGCAAGAGCTGTGGCACAAAAGTGCCGGATACGACCCCCCACCTGTCTCCTGTCTCAATACCCCCCTCCCCCCATATTCTCTTCCGTAGACATGACATAAAGGCTCTACAAGCATAATTAGGCACATATTCGTAATCATCATATCAAATAACCATAATGGGCCAAGTTTTAGCAAATTCTGTGGATTCCCAGTTTTGGACCACCCAAGCAAAGTGAACATTTTCGAAGATATTTAACTATATTTCAAAAGTGAATTAGCTAACTCTTTTTGTACTCATTACAAAGCACTACTCCTTATTTTCCCATACCATGAATCCTGCTTCAAATAACCATCAAACTATGAAGTTAAAAGCAGGCCAATATCTCGTTTGTCCCATTTTTCGCTTCCAATGGTTGTGCTTTCACCAGCTTTTACTCCGAGTAAAAAAGATGATTCAGGCCCAAATTACTCCTATGAAAACTACAAGACTCAGGCTATGAAACTATACGTATTTTGCTCGCCAAAATTCTTTTTGGTGGCAAATTAATGGGGTGGGGCACAACCCCTTAAAAGTTGTGGCGGCCACAGCTTTCAAGGGGTTGTGCCATACCCCATTAACTTACCTTCAAAGCATTTAAATCTCTGTCTTTTTTATATGGTTGCTACTGCTAAACCTTCTTCTCCATGTAGCAGGAATTTCATTCAAAATTGTTTCTCCTGTGGAAAGATATAGTCGTTTTTCCTTAGCTAAGCAAACGGGAAACACTGCGAAAATATTGGATTACGGTAATATGCCAAGTCTGCGCTACTACGTGAATCGCTAGGGAAGGCGACAAGAACAAGTATATTCGATGGCCTGATTTTCGTAGCTTTCACAAAAGTCATTTGAGCCTGATTGGTCTTTTCTAGTGTGAGAAATTGAAAGCGAAAAATGGGTCAGTCGAGATTTTGGCTTTCTCTAAATTCCAGAGGTTGGAGGTTAGTTGAAGTGGGATTCCTAGTACGAGCAAAGAAGTAGTAGTACCTTGTAATGAGTAAAAAAAAGTAGTTTACTCACCTTTGCAACGAAGTTAGCATGTCGGAAATGAGCACCTCATTTGAATTTCCCAACGTTTGAAAACCTCAAAATTCGTCGAAACTTGACCCTCAGGGGTTATGTTGTATGATGATTACGAAAATGGTGCTCTCATGCTTTCAGGGTTCTTTTAATATGCTTACTGTGCGTGTACAACGGTAGGTCAAAACATCAGTGTTGGTATTTTGTACAATGAGCCTTTCAGACATTGTTGAATGGCATAATGTCGCTAACATCACTATCACCTCGATAACGACCCCCCCCCCTCTTCCTGATCCCTCTACGACCCCCCAGGTGTGGCGTGCCACACCCCAAGCTTGACTCTGGTTATACTATCTACTAGCTGGCACACTCGGCTAGGGGCCTTGGCAAGAATATTTTCATAATCAGCATGCTCACTTACCCTCTGCCAGCTCCCATCCCATAGTTCAAAGTTTGCAAGAAATCGATAAAATCGATGTAAACCGATAACGAAAAGGAGCCTATGACGCCCGCCTACCTCAAAGTGTATGTGTGCAAAGTTTGGTTCTGTCCACTGAGAAACGGAATTTTCTATTCGGAACATATATACATATACAGACAAACAGAGATTTAACTTTATATAAAGAGTGAAGTACTCTTCGCCACTTTTTGTTTCCGTAAGATCCACCAAGTTCACGGGCACTTTACCGAATGCCTTTTCCAAGTCCAAAAAAGCTGAATGCAATACCTTCTGCTTCTCTTTGGCGTCGCTTGTACCCACTCCTTCGCAGTCTGCGATGCCACTTCCATTCTTCCATATCAAAATGTGCTGGTATACCGTTAGTCATACTCGCCTTATGATCTGTTCGAGAAAGCTCGTTATCTGTTCAAGAAAACTCGTTAGCCAGGAAGCTTCGAATTGTCCGCATATTTTCCAACACTCGCTTGAAAGGTTGTCTGGGCTTGATCCAGCTGCCTTGCCATTCTATAGCTAGCCATACCTCCTCTTTCGTGGCTGCTGGTATTGGTCTTTCTGTCAGATCGGCTTTTGGCCTGGAGTCAGCGCTGCGGTCTGTGGTGGACGTCTCAAAGTTTTCCATCGGTGATGTCTTTCCGGCTTATTTTTATTGTTCTACCAAGTCTGTCTTCAATGTGAAAGAAGTATCCTATATCCTATGTAGATTATGCCCTTTTTTCTCGCTATTTGGTATATCTCAAGTTTTACCTCACAAGATTCCAATCTCTTCATAGAGTTGTTCTATGTTGATTTGCCCTCTTAACAAGAGGCTTTTGCAGTGTGCCTGACTTGTTGGCTTGCTTGGCTAACGATCGTCCTCAAATTGACCTATGCCATCGCCTGTACGCATCTCTTTTATACTCAAAGGCAATGTCTGGGCAAGAAGTCGATTTTGAGATTTTGTGCTTACCCGGGCCTATTCGCTATGCTAAGTCCAAAAATCCACATTGGAAAGCGCGAAAACGGCAAAAAAGGCTCTAAAGCAGGAGGGGTATCAGCAGGGGGCGGGGCTTCCCCACTTGGATTAACGCTTCCAGCTTCCGGAGCGATCTTCTCTCTTCTCCGCCCGCTCCGAATCGTCGCCGGCCAAGTGCAAACGCGTGACTTGAAATCGGAACCGAGAAGATCGCTCCGGAAGCTCGGAGCGTGAATTCACAGTAGGGGAAAACCCCGCCCTTGCTGATTTCCCTCCTGCGCTTGAGTCCTTTTTCGCCGTTTTCACGCTCTTCAATGTGGATTTTCGGATAAGCACAAAATCTCATAATCGACTTTTTGCCCGACACTGCCTTCAATCACTCTTTGTACCATCATTCCACAGCACATTTCTCAGTTGATCCTTCTCTTCCTGGCTATATACTTTCCTGAATCATGTTTGCCACTTGATGAACCCTATTCTTCGAGTTTGCCCAGGATTGCTTTGAGTTTCTTTGCAAGTACAGTCGAATAATTTTGTGATCATGTGTGACATTGCACACACCGTCCACCTTTGGCGTTCCCATCCTGGATTCTTGGAGGAGGCAACCCTTTATCCGGGTTTCTTAAACTGTTTTCAACGTTTTCTTTCCTTTTTAGGTACTATTCACCTCAAAGTGATGTAAGCGATAGCAATCGGTCAGTCTCCTGCGTTTTGCGATTGCAAATCCAGGATGAGGACGTCAAAGATGGACGGTGTGTGCGGGTGCACACACTCAGACAGTCGCCGGCATACCTCCGGAGCACAAATGGCAGAGCCGCGGGCTTGCCCCAGCGGAGGATTGCCACTTCGCGCTCTGGAGCCTTGCCATTTCACGCATTTTTGTGCTCCTGGGCTCTCCCAAAAGTGGCGCACCTCCGGAGCAGAGATTTGCGCGTCGCGGAGAGGGGTCCCATTCATTCACCGTCACGTCACGGTGACGTCACAAACAGGACGAATGGGACCCCTCTCCGCGACGCTCAAATCTCTGCTCCGGAGGTGCGCCACTTTTGGGAGAGCCCCGGAGCACAAAAATGCGTGAAATGGCAGGGCTCCGGAGCGCGAAGTGGCAGACTCGTGCCATATGCCCGCCGGGGGTATCCCTTCGACTGTCTGAGCATGATCATATGCAATATTGACATTGTTAGTAGTGCCAGTTCCTTCGCCGTCTGGCTTCTTCTGGTCGTTAGGCGGTCCCTCCCCGCTCCACATCCGAGGTCAGCGATTGCCTCGTGGAAATCAAGAGTTGACCTAGGTAAGTCTGCTCTTGTAGGGGAAACATTTTATTACTCGATCAGCAAAAAGAAGAGAAATAAACCCTGTACATCGGATCCCATCTACGGCGCCGGATGGTAGCATGAACGATGTCAGGGTACTCAGGGCGCCTTTTGGATTGGACAAAAACGACACGTCTGCCCGGACGACATGCCATGGAGACTGCCTCATGCTCTGCACCTACAACGCCAGGACAGTCTCCACAAACGCCGACCTCCACGCTCTCCTCGGCGCTGCAGAGCACATCAAGTACCACATCATCGCTCTGCAGGAAACGAAGTCCAGGAAGAAGGACGTGCGACAGATGAGTGATGGGACCCTCATCATTCGTGGTGAGAAGGTTCCATCACGAAACGTTGGAGGCGTTGGCTTTGTCGTCCACCCACCTATCGTCCACCTTGTCGATTCGCATGAGATCCTGTCACCTCGACTAGCCATCCTACGATTACAACCTCCACGTCAGAAGACCATCAGCATCATCAACTGCTACTCTCCATCAGCAGCTGACGACTCAGAACAGGATGCTTTCTACGAAGACGTGGAGGAGGTCATCCGCCATGAAAAGTCCTTCTACAAGTATGTTATGGGCGACTTTTATGCGAAAATCGGGATGCCACTAGAAAAGGAATATAGGATTGCGAAGTTTGGATATGGGCTTCGAAATGAAAACGGCAACCGTCTCGTTGGGCTTCTTTCCGCCGCATGACTTTTCCATGAAAATTCCATCTTCATGAAGAAGGAACATCGCCGATGGACTTGGGAATCGCCCAATGGAACGACTCACGCGGAGATCGACCACATTCTCACCAACCGAAGGTGGAGCTTGCTCGATGTCTCAGTAGTTCCATCCTTCTGCAGTGGCTCCGATCACCGCCTCCTTCGAGCGAAGATACGATTCAGTCGCAGGCTGGAAAAGAAAGTCTGTCACAGTACTGCAAGAAGAAATTTGTCGTTTATGAGGTAACAGGCTCAAAGAGCTTATATCAAGTTGTGACTGGCCCATCGAGGAGGACCCAACGTACGACTACGACCGGCTTCTGAAAGGATTGCGAGCTTGCGGAGAATGTGCCTCAGTGACTTCTGAAAAGAACTTGGAGCGCATTTCGAAGACCACCAGGGAACTGCTCGAAAGAAGAAGATTTCTGAGGCAGGATCCGAATGCAACTCATCTCGAGCGACTGATAGCCAACGCCAGTTGCAGAACAGCCTTGCAGGAGGATCTCAGAAAGTACAGGCAAGCCAAGATACTGGAAGCAGCCGAAGTAAGACGAAGTCTCAAGAAGTGCCGAAGGGACCTCTGTGAATATCACGTACCGCTGGCTGCACTATTAAACGAAGACGGGACTCCCACTTCTTCCCGATACAAGATGGGATCTATCGTGAAGAACTACTACACCAACCTCTTCCGCTCATCAACACCCGTGCCGATGCCCGTTGTTCCCACTGGAGACGTACCACCACGAATTCTACCTGCTGAAGTGCGCACGACGATTCAGACCATGAAGACATCCACGGCTCCAGGACCAGACCATCTTTCCGTCGAATTTCTGCGAGCCGGAGGACAACGTCTACACGAGATTCTCGCGTCGCACCTGACATCTTACCTTCAGAAGGAGAGGATTCCCAACCAGTGGAAAGAATGGTGAACGGGAGGATCTTCGGAACTACCGTCCAATATGCCTGCTGAGTGTGCTGTACAAGCTTTTCACGAAGATCATCCTCGCTCGCATATCTAGGACACTGGATGAAGCCCAACCCCAATAACAAGCTGGATTCCGCAATGGATTAAGCTGCATGGACCACATCCAGACGGTTTAGAGAGTCATAGAAGTCTGCCGGGAGTACCGACTGCCTCTCGTCCTAACCTTCGTCGACTACGAGAAAGCCTTCGACAGCGACGAAACCAATGCCTGTCAGCGCTAGTCGATCAAGGAGTGGAACCAGCCTACGTGAGGACACTAGCCAACTGCTACAAGGACTGTACAACAACGATGCAGCTGTTCCATCGCCCCCTGACCATTCCAATCGGGAAGGGGGTTCGACAAGGTGATACCATTTCGCCGAAGCTGTTCACCGCGGTCTTGCAGTGGGTGATGAAATCACTGGACTGGGACGAGTGAGGCAACGGGTTGATGGGAGATTCCTGTCTAACCTTCGTTTTGCGGAAGACATCGTTCTCTTCTCGAGCAGTATCACCGAAGCAGAGACGATGCTGAAGGAACTAAACGAAGTAGGGAAGAAGATCGGATTGCGAATAGGTCGGAAGAAGACTCAGTTCTTGAAGAACGCCCTTTGCGAAGACGCAGAAATGGAAGGCACCCCTATTATGGAGATGTCTTCTTACGTGTATCTCGGACGTTCGATGAACATGGAGAACGACTTGAGGGAGGAACTTAACAGGAGAAGAAGAGCAGCCTGGGCCGCCTTCGGGCCTCTGAAGGAAGCCACCGTCCAACTGACGGACCCGGAGCTTCGTACCCACCTGTTCGACTTAACCGTTTCCCCGGCGCTCTGTTACGCAGCTGAGACTTGGGCTGACACAGTAGCCACGTCGAAGCCTTACGGACCACCCACAGAGCGCTCGAGCGCAGTCTTTTGAAGGTGACCCGAGACAAGCAACATCTGGTCGGATTTCGCAGTACGGATATGAGAAGAATGTCCCGTCTTCGTGACCCAGCGAAATACGTTGCGAAAGCGAAGCACCGATGGGCCGTTCACATCATGAGAAGAACAGACGACAGATGGACACTAAGAACATCTAAGTGGATTCCTCGCGAAGCCAAACGTCCCCGAGGAAGACCACCAACGAGATGGGCAGACGTGTTCGTGGAACGAATGGACCAGCTGAGAAATCAGCTGGATACGATTATCGCACCTGGAACTCGTGGACGCAGCCACCGACCGCAACCAAGAAGATCGTGGATGTCTGAAGCGAGGGACAGGGACAAATGGCAACTTTTGTGCTGGGGCCCGCACGCCACGTGAAGACGGGCCATTTAAGTATCTAAGTAAGTAAGTAGTGCTTGCTTTGTTGTCGGTCTCCAAATTCCAATACTTGGAATGTGTTTAAGCTCTGCAACTTTTTTATGTGCCTATAGATTGACTCTCCGAGGTCGAAAAGCGTAGTCTATGTGAGGCATGCTGCTGTCAGCAGGAATGTCTTTCTAATCACAAAGCTGAGTCCATTAAATCCCTGGTCCGGCCATCGATGAATCTTGGCATGACTGTGTAATCTTGTATCAGCTGATGTAGCGTAGACCAAGATTGGTAGATAGATTTATAAATCTATCTACCAATCTTGGCCTACCTACATCGGCTGATACAAGATTACAAAGCTGCGTATTAAACTCAGCGACCATCAAAACCCTATCACACAGGTTTTTATATTTTTTGTAACCAATCGAAAGAAAGTGAAGCCTTTCAAAATGCACTACATGCCGGAAGTTCCTACCGTAAACCTGCATTAACGAAACGCGATCGGTGATTCGCTCTATACTGTAAGCCTAAGTTGAAGCCAGCTCTACAAAAAAGTACCTAAGGCTTCTCGAAAGACTTCATGACAAGAAAGTTTTAACAACCAAACATTAGAAACATTTTCCGGGACACTGTGTGATAAGATGGTATTTCTGATTTGGTATGTGCTCACCAAGACCAGATCATGAGCTGAGGCGACAATATGTCGAAAACGATGCGGCCAAGAGATAGGACTCTGACCAACTCACGTTTTGGCGACAGTTTCTGCTTTTGTCTTTCCCGCCCCGCCTCGCTCAAAAAATTTCGAGATAAAACTTAGGCAGCCTCAGTGTGTTGCGCAAGCATTAACCGCTCAAAACAGAGAGTGGGGGGGGGGGAATAAAAGATCAAATACTCAGTCAAAGGTAGCCATGACTCATCTAAGCTGACGAGGCCTGACTATATTCCGAATGCTCAAAAGTGATCTCTCCAGTAGGACTTCTTGAGGGTTGTAGCTTTTTTTAGCAATCTTGGTCAATAATGGATCAACAGAAAAGCTCTCTACATTCCGCGGGAACTACTACGTAGGCATATGCACACTAATAACAACTCGCACACAAGTTACTGAGGTTTTTAATCTGAGTGTCACGGTCGGCACCGCTCGCAAGCCGCCTCGCTTGGGTCTCTCGCCGCGTTCGTCCTCGGCGGATAGGTATTTTCCAGTGGCGTACCCAGGATTTCGGCTCGGGGGGGGCGCGGCAAAAAAAATTTTCAAATGAAGGTGCGTGGCGTTAGCCACGCACTCCGAAAAATTTTTAGGGGGGCTTCTCAACAATTTTGCGGGCCCCAAACCCATAAAATCTGGAAAAAGGGGGCGTGGCGTCAGCCACGCCCCCGAAAAAATTTTTTTTATAAGGCTAATTTGAATTTTTAAAAAATTTTGAAAATTATTTTAATTGTTTACAAAAATAAACAAGTCATTTGCACATTTTTATAACGCATGTAAGTAATTTTCAAAAATTTCGCGACCCGTTCTCGGGGGGGGGGCGCGCGCCCCCCCCGCCCCCCCTCGGTACGCCACTGGTATTTTCCCATGCTTGAGGCGTGAGAAATACCGTATCCATAGGCATCAACGGCTGACGAGCTTGGGAAAATGCCCGAGACAAGTTCGCGACCGCGACAGCATTATAAATCTCAAAAAACACCGAGGTTACCGTAACCCGGAAATTAGGCGTCAATAGGGTCCGTAGTTGCACCGGAAGTCAAATTTTACTTCATTTGACGCCTAATTTCCGGCGTTGTGTCCCTGCTTCTCGGCGCCATCTATTCCTACCGGGCTGGCTGCGCGGGCGGTACTCGCGCCGCACTGTTCAGCGTGGGGCGCACAATCCTTCTCATTATTGCGACGTCAGGTAGATAACTCTCTCGATCCAGATGTTCTGAGGAGGACTTTTTCTCCACTACGCGTCGAGTGCAAACGAGGCGGTTTCCGACTATACTTGGGAAAAATCGATATGTTCCATTAAATGAATGAACGAAGAATTCGAAAATAAAAAATTTGGAGTGAGTGAATATCGAATAAGTCCGAAATATGAAATTTTCCAATGGTTGAATCCCGAATAGAATCCGAAAATCAAAAATATCAAATGAATAAATTCTGATCGAAGAATGAGAGTCGAATGTCAAACAAATATTCAAATAATTTATCGATTCATAGTCAGCGCCCTCCCCTGCACCAGTTCCCAGCGACACAGCTCAAAACTTTCCAAAAATCCATAAAATCGATAAAGTAGACTTTCATTTTTTTCATTCATAATCAACGCCCCTCATTTATCCCTGCACTCTGTACCGCAAGCGCTCTTGAGCGAGAGATCTATTAGTCTGTAAATATGAGACTGTAATATTTTATGTGTGTGGCTATTTTGTCAGACTTGGTTTTGCTCAACACATATTAGCTGATATTCAGTTCTCAAGACGATGAGAAACATTTGTCAGTAGAATTCGGGCTCGAGCACTATGTTTCCGGTACTTACAATCAGGAGTCTACTGCAAGACGGAGGTTCACCAGCATCTTAAATCAAGCGGTCGAAAGCGTCGTGTAAGCAACTGCATCGTCGTGACTGCGCGCTATGCACCATACGGGTATGAACCGCATTTGTGCCCCTTGATCCTGCGCCTTTACATGGCAGTAGATCTTACTTGTTAGGCGTCCACTACATTTCAAAGACAGTTTAGCAGAGTTACAACAATTGAAAGGGTGGAGCTGAGCTTTAGAAATGAGGAACCTTGCAACTTGGGGCATGTTACTATTTCAGCTGAAAGAGCTGTTTGGAGTAAGCGCTGAGTGTGCGATCTCCTGAAGTAATAACGACGACTACTTATATGTACTCATATGCCAAAAATGCTACGATACATAGCCTGCTTATCAAAGACTTTCGAAGTGGCCTTGATAACTCACTACAATCCGAATGCGACTTTCATTCGAATACGAATTCGAATAAAACATTCGGACAAAAATCAATCTAATCTCGATCTGTTGGTTATTCCAGTTTCGATTTATTCGAAACCCCGTCTTTTGATCATTCGAATTTTCGAACTTTCGAAATGGAAAACTCCGAGTATCAAATTTCGAGTGCGAATATATCTATCCCCCTCATGGTCTGCTGCCTCAACGTGGCGAGGGGTGCCCCTGGGCGTAGCAAGAAGGTCCAGACTCACGCGTCAACCCAGCTAAAGCAGATCACTTCATGTCATCATGTCAGGGTCCGTTGCCACCTTCCTTACAACGCCAGTCAAGTCGTGAGGAGGCAAAAACCTGTTACTAAGGAGCTGCGTCTGCTTCGGCACAACCCCAGAACACCCCATCCTTGTTATCTAGGGTATGACGGGAAATTCTGATAGCTTTATCAATTTTAAACCAATCGCCACAGTACCTTGCGCACCGTGTTCGTCTGTCGCTTGGGACGTCGATGGCAGTACGATCGGTGAGGGGCGAAGGAACTCAGGTGTAAAAGCGAGACGTCCATAAATCCTTTCGGTAACAAAACTGATACGAGGCTGCTTTCGACTTTGCACTTACGATGGAAGGACGTTATCCTCAGCTCATGAGCTTTATGTTCTCCTAGAAGCCGCAACTCGCATCAAATGATGTAATTGCACTACAGGAAACCAAGAACAGCTCGGCTCGGCCGGC